GCTCACCGCTTCCCCTGTCACCAGGAAGTCACTGATGTTTTCTGTCTTTTTTTGTTGTTGTTAATGTATATTAAAGCGTTTTAAATTTTTTTTAAAGGCAAATTAGTAGTTTCAGCCCGTATTCAAGAAGAGGGGTCACACAAGGGCATGATATCAAGAGACGGAGATTATTGCAACCATAGAAGACTGCCTCCTGCCCCTAAGTTGAGAATATCTTTATTCTACATGTTTCTGAGACATTGATCCTCACCTGCGGAGGTCTGTCCCGCAGACACTGACTCAGTGGCAGATGAATAAATACACTCAGACACACAGAGTACAGTGATGGAGTTGGCTAGGGAGGTTGTCAGCTGCTCTCAGAAGGTGACCGCAGCTACCCGACCCCTGCTTGCTGTTTCTCCTCACATTTATTCAGTATAGATTTAACAAGAGAGGTTCTAAGTCAGCGTGCTTGTGGATAATTAACATGGTTAAAAGAGAGGTTTTGCCACTAATAAAAGGTTTTGGTTCCCAGGCCCAGAACAAACACCATTAACAGGTAACCCCCCTTTGACCTCCCCCTGAGAGGGCCGTGTAGCACAGAGTTTACATGAGTAAACAGTTGGAGTAGAGACAAAGGAATGTGGGGTAAACAGATTTAACTGGGAAAGCTTCTGTTACCCCAAATCTTCACCCTATGACCTAATGCTCTAAGATAAGAAGCAACTGCCTTCAGCCTGTCCCATTAAAACCTTTTGGCCTTCCAGAAGGTTTGAGACTATAATCTTACAGCTTTCCCTGGTATTTCCCTTAATATTTTCCTGGCCACCCTGAGTGAATCTCAACATATTTCAGCTGTTTTTTTCTCAAATATCGTCTCTGCCCCATTCTTTCTAGTCTCTCTTTCTGGGTCTGATTAGACACATACGTCGGTATTTCTCACTTGGTTCTTCAGCTCTCTTAACCCGTCTTTGGTATCCCCCACCGCCCTTTCTCTCCAGGCTTCATTCTGTATCGTTTCTTCAGATCTGTTTTCCAGTCACCAGTTCTCTCATTCAGGGCTGTCAAAATCCATTGATTTTCTTCGACAATGATATATTTCATTTTTAAATGTTCTTTCCAGTTTCTTATATTCAACCGTGTTAATATCTTGCTGCTAGCTTGTTTATGTAATCTCATCTTGTTTCCTTATAGGTACTGTACATTCTGTATCTGACTTTTATCACGTAAACACCTTGGCAGTTTAAATCTTTTGTTGTTGCTGTTGACCTTCACTCATATTACAATGTTTGATTGTGGGTTTGTAATTTGTTGGACATAACCGTGGAATTGTGAAATCCTAAATTGCTCTCCTTTAGGATAACTTATATTTGTTTCAACCAAAGCCCCTTTTTCTGAAAAGTGGCTGCCTCTAGCCTTTTCAGAACCGGTAAACACCCTTCCAGATTCCCTGGTTTAATCTGGGCATCTCAGATAGAGCTCCTGACCTTGCTCTACCTGAGATAGACCAGCCCCAGATGACTTCTCCCAAGTGCAGTGCCAACTGAGATATAAGAACTTTCAAGCCAGGTGTGGTGGCTTATTCCTGAAATCCCAGCACTTTGGGAGGTCGAGGCAGGCAGACCACAAGGTCAAGAGTTTGAGACCAGCCTGATCAACATAGTAAAACCCCATCTCTACATAAAATACAAAAAATTAGCCAGGCATGGTGGTGCATGCCTGTAATCCCCAGCTACTCAGGAGGCTGAAGGGGGAGGAGAATCGCTTGAACCTGGGAGGTGGAGGTTGCAATGAGCCGAGGTCATGCCACGGCACTCCAGTCTGGGCACCAGAGCAAGACTCCGTCTCAAAAAACAGACAAACAAAAAAGGAACTTCCAAAGGTAAAAATGTTAACACCACAAAGAAAAATAACACGATTGGGTGCTGGAAGATGAAAGGGTGGGTGTTGGTCTTGTCAACCAGCACCTGCCCTTGGGAGAATCCGCCCTTGCCTGTGCTTATCACAGACTGGTAGTCGTGTGTACATATGAAGACAGCTGGGTATGGGTTTTGTATTTGCTTCCTTGGATACTACTTCTGGTGAGCTCAGCAATGAGAACTGTTCTTTATTGTGGCACCCAGCTGTTCCGTACCGGAAGAGCAGCCCTGTCTCCCACAGAGTCTGCTATTCGCTGTGAAAGCAGAAGGTTCATCAGTCAGTCACCCTTCTCTTCAGGGTACCTGCTGCCTGAGCATGATGAAAGCATCTCCACCTCCAAGCCCCACCCTTTCATTCCTTCCACCCAGTTCTGTTATTTTTCTTTGTGTTTAACATTTTACCTTTGAAAGTTTTTATATCTCAATTTTAAATTTTTATCTGTTGTATTTTGCTCTTCCCACAGCTAGAAAAGGTGAAGACATTGATGTAGATATAGACAGCCTCCCACGGCTCCCGTCCCGGTGCACCTTCTTCCCATAGTTCATCTTACCATAGTTCATCTGTTCTGCTCTTAATGGGCATTTGGGTTGTTTCCAACGTGGAACTAATGCAAATAGTGTTTCAGTGAACTTCCTTGATAATGTCTTTGGTAAACACATACACATATTTTCTGTTATATACTTATGATTGGAATTGCTGGGTATTAGAATGTGTGTGTCTTCAGCTTTGGCAAATACTGCCAAAGAGTTTTCCAAAGCTGTTGAACCGAGTTAGAAATCTCATTCTCAGTATACAAGAGGACCCATCGTGCCACATTCTTGCCAGTGAATGAATGGTGCTTTGCATCTTCTTCATTCTGGCCATTCTAGTTGGTGTATCAAGGTGTCTAGTGGTGGTCGTAATTTGCCTTCCCTGATGACTAAATAAACTGAGCACTTTTTCATATGTTTACTAGCCATTTAATCATTCTCTTTTATGAAGTATCTATTCAAGACTTTTGCCCATTTTTCTACTGGTCTTTTTCGTAATTGATCTGAAGGATTTTTGTTGTTTTAAGTCATGTTTTGGATACAAACACTTCATTGGTTGTACACATTACAGATCTCTTACATATTGCAAACATGTTGTTGTGTTCTTGCAGTTGCCTTCTGGAAAACAGAAGTTGTTCATTTTAATATGGTATAATTCATTAGTTTTCTTCCTTCATGGATAGTCCTTTTTGAGTTCTGTTTAAGAAATCTTTGCCTAATCTCATTCTTCTTTTCTTTGATGGTTAGAAAAGTTTCATGAGAAAGCACTGTCTGTAAAATGCATAACAAACAGTTGACAACACCTTCTTCCTCTTTGTCCTGATGGAGCCGTCATTTTTGCTAATCCCAAACACTCCTGCCTCGTAAATTCTCCCCCTGGGTCAGCCTTGTCTTGTGAGCACATGTCTGCACACGGATGCCACACTCTCAAAGAGCTCTCAGGTCAGAGTGCAGGGAATCAAACGTCTGATGAGGTGCAGTCGGTCTTATAGGACCAGATGTGCTGCGCTAGGGTTCTGATCTTTTTGCCATTCCTTTGAGAGGTGAACAATCATGGCAACACGCAGGCTTTGTGAACTCCATGTGCAGTATTCCACATGAGTCATCCACTTCTTCAGGGGCACAGATAGCTCCAACACACTGAGATAGCTGTGGGCTTTTCTCAGCCCTGTTGAAAAGCTCCCTCCAGCTCTGCCTTCCCTCCCTTGCTCTTATTTTTGACCCTTCAACTTCTGAAAATTTTAGATAGCACAGTTGCGTGTCTATTCCGTGCAGATGTTTGAGGTTACTTGGAACAGCAGCCCTCTAAACTGAGCATGGCACACCCTTTGCAAACCACGTGGTGATCACGCTGCAGCAGCCACAGATGCTCCTTGACCTTTATCCGGCCCATTTTGAAGCAGCGGGTCCCTGGCCACACCCTGGAGGGTGATGTCTTCCTTCTCCAACTTGGGCCTTTTAGCCATGATGGGGTTTGTCACCCTGGAATCACTGCATCTTTAAAAGATCTTTAACTACATCTGTTCTCAGTTTTCAGACCATGAGGCCAGGATTTGGGTGCAAGTAGTTTATCTGGAAAGTGATCCCAGGAAGCGTGGTGAGGGGGCAAGGGAGAGAGAAGTCAAGAAAGGTGCATTTGTGAGTTAGTGACTGCTGTTGACAGCGAGACCATCCTCCAGGGCCCCCTGAGAGGTGTGTGGAACTTGCCTCAGTGTCATCTCCCTGTCCCCGGGGCAGGATGGGGAGTTACCCAGCTTCTGTCCCTTATGGTTGAGGTCGCTGTCCACGTGAGTCCTCCAAAAGGGACACCGGCTATGTCTGCCTTCGTGATTCTGATAAATTGTCTCCTGAGCACTTCACCGATGCCCAGATTTCCTAATGATACAATTAGAAGTCGATGTGTTTAAATGCTGGTTGAATTATTTTAATTGTACATTTGTAGATGTTCTGAAAATTCTCTAAGTGAAGTACTATAAAAAATTGTGCACAGCTCAGCTGAGCTAGAAACAGGTGACCACAGGGAGAAAGAAGGTTGCCCCTGTAACCCTGTGGGGTTATGGGCCCTTCGCGGCCCTTTGGGCTGTCACTTGCTGGCCTCACAGTGGCTGCCTACCCATCTGGTCTTGAATTCAGGGCTGCCTCTTCCAGCAAGGCCTCTCTGAGGAGGTTTGGTTAGATCGTTTTACTGTCTGTCCCGGACAGTCCCTGGTATCTGCCTGAACCCTCACCGCTGTAAATGGAAGGTGTCTGTCTGCTCATTACTGCTAGGACACAGGCTCCTGGCCTGTGCGGTGCCTCTGATACCTCCTACGCCCTCTGTGGTTGTTGGAGCTGTTGAACCCAACCCCGTGAGACAAACCCTCCTCGGAGTAGATGCACAGAACTTTCTGTACTAAATGAACCAGTTCAAGGGATGCACTTATTTTTTGAACCTACAAACTCATGACCCTCTGGCTTCCCCACACATTTCGAATCCCACATTTGAAATCGTGGATGGGCCACGCCTCTGACCCCAGGTGTGACCTGAGTGTGGGTGTTCTCCACAACTACGTTCCTTCCCTTGTTCCGCAGCATCTGATGTGCGCCGGACTGTGGTGCCTGGTAGAAGGAGACGCCTCCTGCAAGACCAAGCTGGACCCTCCCCTGGATGGCACCGAGTGTGGGGCAGACAAGGTAATCCCGGCCTCCCGCTGCCCAACAGGCAGCTCCACGCCTCCCAGGCAGCTGGCAGTCTCTCAAACACGGTCTGTACTCTACTTAGGAGCCCCAGAAACATCCCCCAGGCACCACAGAAATGCCCGTGGAGCCTGCTCCTGTCACAGAGTGGTGCCTACATCGCCTCTTTCCTTTTTCTTATAAGATACGGCGGGGCGCAGTGGTTCAGGCCTGTTATTCCAGCACTTTGGGAGACCGAGGTGGGTGGATCACAAGGTCAAGAGACTGAGACCATCCTAGCCAACATGGTGAAACCCCGTCTCCACTAAAATAGAATCCGGGCATGGTGGTGCATGCCTGTAATCCCAGCTACTCAGGAGGCTGAGGCAGGGGAATCACTGGAACCTGGGAGGCGGAGGTTGCAGTGAGCCAAGATCAGGCCACTGGACTCCAGCCTGGGCAACAAGAGCAAAACTCTGTCTCAAAAAAGATACAAGTTTCAGTTACTTAATATGTTTGTTAGATTAACTCCCGTCACCATGTAAGGGAATTTACTTAAAAGGAGCACTTTAGACCAGCATATTTTAAATGGAAAAACATCACCTGCCATACACAGTAGGCTCTTGTGAAAAGAATTCAGTGAGGACAGTGTTATCCAATTCTAGCTAAATGCTGAGAGAAGTAGCCTGCTCCTCCCCTGCAGGAGAGATGGGAGGTGTTGGAGGGGAGAGGTGTGCAGAACCCTCAGCCACAGGGCTCTTTCCAGTCTTTTTTTATTTTTTGATACCGAGTTTCCCTCTTGTTGCCCAGGCTGGAGTGCAGTGGCATGATCTCAGCTCACCACAAACTCCGCCTCCTGGGTTCAAGCAATTCTCCTGCCTCAGCCTCCCGAGTAGCTGGGATTACAGGCATGCGCCATCACGCCCTGCTAATTTTTGTATTTTTAGTAAAGACAGGTTTCTCCATGTTGGTCAGGCTGGTCTTGAACTCCCGACCTCCGGTGATCTGCCTGCCTGGGCCTCCAAAAGTGATGGGATTATAGGCGTGAGCCACTGCGCCTGGCCTCTCTCCAGTCTTAATGCAGAGATTGAAAGGGTTGAAAAGGAAGTTTAGCTCTGATGCCATGATTGGGAACCATGAAATCACATCCAGCGCCTCAGGGTAGGTGCTATCCACTTAGAGAAATTGTTTTATAGGGTTGGCCTTCTCTTATCCTCAGAAACAACCAAGGTTTCCTCACGTGGAGCTGGCCGTCATCACCAAGCAACAAACCCCATTCTAAGGTTCAAAACCTCAACCAGGCATGCCGCCTCCCAGCGAGAAACGCGCTCACGCCAAGCAAAGTTTGCAGAAGCCCAGGTTTCTTCATGAGCCATGTAAATTAGTCCTCTTCCTGGGATTTAGAAAATCCCAATGGAGCACATCTATCTGAAAGCTTAGGGCAAAAAATGCAAACCCTACAGGGATGTAAGTGTCAGCTTCAGTAAGGCACGTCACTAAAATCAGCAAACATGCAAACCCTGAAATAGACTGGACTTTTATGTAAATGTAGAAAGCGGGTTTTTCGCAGCATGGCATTTTGGGGCCGGGCGGGCTGGAGTGAGCAGCTTTGCTGAATGCCGGGCCCCAGCCCTCCCCGCTGTGTTTCAGTGGTGCCGCGCAGGGGACTGCGTGAGCAAGACGCCCATCCCGGAGCACGTGGACGGAGACTGGAGCCCGTGGGGTGTCTGGAGCATGTGCAGCCGAACTTGTGGGACGGGAGCCCGCTTCCGGCAGAGGAAATGTGACAACCCCCCGTAAGTCCCCCTGACCAGCCACGCTTCAGCGTGCCACAATCGGGGTTTCCGAACTGCAGCTCTCGATGCCCACACAAAGCAGGGTCTGTCTCCCACTGAGCATAAGAAGATAAGGAAAATGAAACCCAGCCGAGGTCCAGGGTGCGGGGGCCTCGTGTGTGTCAAATGACATCTCAGCTTTAATCGCTCTTTCTATGAACATGGATACGGTAGAGTCTGGGTTGAGCTGACTCCCTCATTCCTTGCCTGGGCCCCAGTGGAAAGGTTTTCTGAGTCAGCTGGATTACAGTTCCTCCTGCCTGCCTCATCATTTGCCAAGTCGAGGGTCATTCCCACGAAGCCTGGAGGCCTTCAGGAAAGAGGTTGACCAGTTGGCTGTCTGCTGATGTGGGGGCAGGCTCGTGGTTCATGAGTCACAGAGTGTCTGAGTTCAGCTGCCTTCTTCATCCTAAGAGTTTTCGTGGGTCCTTCTATAACTATCAGAAAAATAAGTGTTTTTTTCTTTGGCTTTGGCTGCTTTTTATTGACTCTAATGACAGCATGGCCTTTCCTGTTCAGCTTTGTACATTTGTTCCAGGAAACTCAGGGATCGATTTAATGATGTTAATTCCATCACTGCAGATTTTCCCTTGTCTTCTTGGAGCTTCCCGCGTTTCTTACCATTTCTTTCTTTTTTTTTTTTTTTTTTTTTCCTTCTTTTTGAGATGGAGTCTTGCTCTGTAGCCCAGGCTCGAGTGCAATGGTGCAGTCTCGGATCACTGTAACCTCCGCCTCCTGGGTCCCAGTTCAAGTAATTCTCCTACCTCAACCTCCTGAGTAGCTGGGTTTACAGGTGTGTGCCACCACACCCGGCTAATTTTTGTATTTTTAGTAGAGATGGGGTTTCACCATGTTGGCCAGGCTGGTCTTGAACTCCTGACCTTCTGATCTGCCCACCTTGGCCTCCCAAAGTGTTGGGATTACAGGTGTCGCCGCTGCGCCCGGCCACCATTTCTTTTAATGGTCTCTTTTATGCCTGGTGTGTCAGCAGTTGCATCACATCAGTTCTGAAAGTGAGCAAGTTATAAATAACGACTGTAGAGAAATATTCACAATTAAGTCCTGCTGATGGATAATTAGCAAACGCCTCTTGTGTTTAAAAATGCTGATGCTCAGGTCGTACCCCAGACTGATCAAATCACAGAACACTAGGGGTGGGACCCAGGAATTGGATATTTTATCTTCTCAGGTGACTCCAACAGCAGCCAATGTTGGGAACCTCTGGATTAAAGGAAGGCTTATGCTCCTAGTGTAGTCAGTGACAGGAACATGATTTTCCCAGCAATGTTATAAGAATTGACATGTATTATATCTTACTAAAACATTTCCCTCTAGCACCCATCAGAGTGCAGGGCACATAGCAGGTGATTAGTTTATTAGGAATGATTTCTTTTTTTTTTTCTTTTTTTTTTTTTTTGAGATGGAGCCTCACTTTGTCACCCAGGCTGGAGTGCAGTGGCACGATCCTGGCTCACTGTAACCTCTGCCTCCTAGGTTCAAGCGATTCTCCTACCTCAGCCTCCCAAATAGCTGGGATTACAGGTGTGTGTCACAACACCAGCTAATTTTTGTATTTTTAGTAGAGACGGGGTTTTGCCATGTTGGCCAGGCTGGTCTCGAACTCCTGACCTCACGTGATCTGCCCACCTCCGCCTCCCAAAGTGCTCGGATTACAAGCGTGAACCACCACGTTCAACACAGAAATGACTTTTTAATGACGAGCATAGATGGGTAGACGATCAGAAACCCTGTTTAGCTAAATGGTGGGAAATTATTAGAGAGTGGTGGCAGTTTTTGCATTGTTCTGTGTTGAAGTTAATAGTTTGACCTCTGGCCCTGTGAAGAGAGCATTGGGCTTGGCGTCATGGTGCTGAGATTTGGGCCTGACCTTGTTGGTTAGCGGTCATGTGACCTCAAGGAAGACCCTTCTGTTCCCAGGCCTTAGTTCCGCACAGTAAAGGCAGCTGACGTGGTAGAGTGGGAAGAGCCAGGCTTCAAAGCCAGGACAGACAAATCTTCACATCCCACCACAGCTTCTCACAGCACTGACGGCTGGTGCTTCTCGCTTCATCTAAAACCTGGAAGAATTCATGGGAATGTGCAGAAAGTCCTTGGTGTGTATTCAGAAAGCAACCCCTCTCGTTAGCACAGGCAGAAGAACGGGGATGGGACTCATTGCCCTTCCCTGCCTCAGGCTTTGCTAAGTGCAGAGAGAAATTGTCAGGGGTTGCCATGGGTGCCCCATGTTTGTGATTGGAGTTTGTGGGTCCTAGTGGAAGACTGGTCTTCTTGGCATGTGATTTTCTTAACCCATAACTGGTGACACCCAGTAAACTTTATAGCAGGGGGAAGTCAGAACCTCTGAACGCCTGAAGGACCCAGTGTCCTGAGACTGTCAACATTTAAGTTGTCTTTAGGTGAGGGCAACACTTGCAAGAGTAAGAAGTTGTGAACACTGCAGATGCCATCGGTGCCTCTTTGAAGCGAACCGGTGTTGTCTGCTTTCTTGGGGTGACTTTAGCTAGGGCATCCCCCTCATGCGTAGCCTGAAGGCAAGGCTTGGAGCTTTTCGGCTTCATGTCTTGGCTGGACCGCTATCGCTTTCTGAACTGCATCCTGCCCTGCCCACCCGCGGTTACTCTCGGATACCACAGGAGCATTTTGCTGTAGGAGGATCCCAAACACAGCCCCCTTCAGACAGCTGCACTCAGATACTCTCCCTGGCCTTCCCTGCCATGAGGTTTCTTGTATTGGGATCCTCTCCGCATTCCTCCAGGTCCAGTGGCCCCAGGAGAGAGGCTGTTCTGTAAATTGCAAAGTTGGAAAACTCTTTCACCCCTCTGCTTTACCAGGTCCTCCCCTCTCCCGTGCCGTGGTGGTCGTGACTATTCTCTCCCTTGCTTTTTCCTCTGTGTTACCACTGAGGAATGGGAGAATTTGTAGGGCCTTGGCACACAACGGCTGAGGGTTTATGGGTCTCAGCACATTGGATTGTTACAGGCATTGCTGCACCTTCATGTCCAGTCTCTGTTGCCCACAGCAGCATCCTATGGGGCAGGGCAATGGTGGAAGGAGCAGAAAGAGCCTGTTGCATTCTCACTCCTCCCAGCCCACGCCTCTTCCTGGTGAAGCCTTTCCAAGGCGAAGCCTTCAGTAAACCTCGCCCGGGCCTGAACTCTGCTAGGTGTGGGCCTGCAGTGAGAAGCAAAGACATATAAAATTCCCGCCTACCACAAGGGATGCAGTCCCGCCACCTCCTCTTGCTTTTCCCCCAGACACTTCAAACAGGACCCTCCTTTCCCAGCCCACATCTCCCCCTCAGTAAACAGCACCACCATCCATGCACTGCTTGAGTCCAAAGCCCCTGAATCCACGCAAAGCCCCAGAATCCACGCAAAGTCCCTGAATCCACGCAAAGTCCCTGAATCCATGTGAAGACCCTGAATCCACACAAAGCCCCTGAATCCACGTAGCTTCCTCTTACGTCCTTTCCACCTCCTCCATGTCTGGTCGTGAGAAGGGTGGTGGATGCAGCAGACCCACACCATGTGCCGGGTTCACTTAGGCATTTATGTAGCAAATCATGGAATGCAGCCCTATGGGAGAGGTATTATTTTTGGCTTCATTGTACAGAAAAACAAAAAAAAAAACAATCAGGGGGCCTGGTCCAGTGGCTGACACATGTAGTGTCAGCACTTTGGGAGGCTGAGACAGGTGGATCACCTGAGGTCACAAGTTCAAGACCAGCCTGGCCAACATGGTGAAGCCCTGTCACTACTAAAAATACAAAAATTAGCTTGACATGGTGGTGCGCACCTGTAATCCCAGCTATTCGGGAGGCTGAGGCAGGAGAATCGCTTGAACCTGAGAGGCGGAGGTTGTAGTGAGCTGAGATTGTGCCACTGCACTCCAGCCTGGACAACGGAGCGCACAGAGCGAGACTCCATCTCAATTAAAAACGAAAACAAACCTGAATCACGTGGACACAACCCAGTTCAGACAGCTGCAGTTTCTCCCCAGTCAGAAGCCATACCTTTTCGCTTCTGTAATATTTACCCCTCGGGAGTCTGTCGGAACCTTTGCAGTGACAGTGTCGCTCTGTTTTCTGTTGCGAACAAAACAACGTGCTCTTTTTTCCCAAGCAGTTTTCTTTTATTATTGTTCTTATTATACTTTAAATTCTGGGGTACATGTGCATGCAGGATTGTTACATAGATATATATGTGCCATGGTGATTTGCTACATCCATCACCCCATCTTCTACATTAGGTATTTGTCCTAATGCTCTCCCTCCCCTATCCCCCCACCTCCTGACAGGCCCCGGTATGTGATGTTCCCCTCCCCATGTCCATGTGTTCTCATTGTTCAGCACCCACTTATGAGTGAGAACACGCGGTTTTTGGTTTTCTGTTCTTGTGTCAGTTTGCTGAGAATGATGATTTCTGGCTTCATCCATGTCCGTGTAAAGGACATGAACTCATCCTTTTTTATGACTGCATAGTATTCCATGGTGTATATGTGCCACATTTTCTTTATCCAGTCTATCATTGATGGGCATTTGGGTTGGTTCCAAGTTTTGCTTTTGTGAACAATGCCACATTAAACATACGTGTGCATGTCTTTGCAATAGAATGATTTATAAACCTTGGTAGTTTTCAATGGAGTTTCTTGCCTCCATGGATCCAGCCCAGGTAAATGGGAAGACCTTGGGTGGGTGGATTAGCAGCTGTCTCGGGGACTTCCCAAAGAGATGCAGGATGTGGACGTGTTTTATGAAGTCCAGCTGCAGTCTCCAGCCTGCTTCTGCAGGATGCCCTACTGTGGTGATTGTTACAAAGCACAGCTGACCAGGGCCTCGGATCCAAGCTCTAACGAAAACAATGTCGTCTCCCCATCTCACTGCTAAGTCACCAGACCTCCTGCCTCGAGATTTCACAAAGTCCCAATCTCACTGTGATGTA